AGAGACAAGCATAGCAATAAAAATACTCACCCCTCTGTATAATCTAGTAAAAGTGGTTAAGATAGCTACAGTGAGGTAGTTGAACACCCTCAGATGAAGATACTGCCATATCATGCCAAGATAAAAGTAATGGGGGAGGTCCACATACTAGTCCACACAATGTCCTCCAGTGGGCAATTCAACCTGGCTGCTAAGGACGTAGAAACATGATGAATCTGATTAGACATGACTTGCAGAAGATTCCTTGCCTTCAAAGAAAGCCCAGAAGCGATACGGATAAATTTTGTACCCATCTTCTCAATGTAACTGGGTATAAATCCTGGGAAACTGAATGATCCCAATAAATAAAAAGTCATTGTCTAGCATCTCTAAAGTCATTAGTGCAGGCAAAAAAACCTTCAAGACCCTCACTGGACATAACAAATGATCGAAATCTGGTCAGTCATAGAAGTGAGAAATAGTGATCAAATGAATCAGGGAAAATTATTTATCACCTTACCTGTATGACAGTGTTTTAGGTAAGAAAAACCAGTCTGAGGACAAAGGTAGAATGATAAAGCATCCTAAGCACAAGCAGTGCAAACCACTATGACAGGTCAGCAGCAATGAAAATTAAACTTTCAAGTAAAGGCAATACATGGCATATGAGAATAAGGTCACAAACAGGTTTTGAGGAAGAAAATGTAACGTAACCATAATTTACCAGTTAGGTAACCGGGAATGGTCATTTGGACTTTAGCGACTTTAGAAATCCTGATAGTACTGGGGACTCAAATAATTTTTGTCTTGAGTGACGCATGGAAGTCAATAAAGTCGCCTTATACAGGGTGATTGTGGAAGATGCAAAAACCCTTTCTAAAGATCCAGATCAAGAAAAGAGATATGGATGGTACTTTTGATCAAAGTGGGTTCAACCTCCTCTCAATATGCCAATATGTGTGTCATTTCCATTGATAAATGCCATCATAGAACTAAGCAAAGCCTGAGACAGATACTTGGCTACTTTAGAAATTAAATCCCAATGCCATGCGAGAGATTGCATAACCATGCCTGAAGCTTGATGATGCAAGATCATGGCTGCCTCCACAGAGATGGCCAAAGAAAAAAAGTGTAAGAGGTGGACACTCCTGAAGGTATTGCAGAAGCAGAAACCAGGGTGTAGCTGTCAATCTGCTGCTATCAACAGAATCTGACAATGGGTTGGAACAAATCATAGTTAGTACCTTGGGTAACATATGACTAGGAGGGATGTCCTACAGTAGTAATCCCATCCCATCCGGATGGAATGCATCCATTGCCAAACCCTGAAGGTGAGATGAGAGCCAATCCAACAGAACCTTGCAATGCAGCATCTATTCTGTAGGGAAAATCTGTTTGGGTTGAGACAATTGATCTGCTACTATAGTCATCACCTGTGGAACATGGCAAGATAGTAAGGTGATATGATAGGAGTGGTCCAGAGAAAGAGGTACAAGGTTTGAAAACAAGGAGCACTGTACCAAGTACCAAGACACCACCATGGAATTGTCAGTATGAAGCCCTATGATTTTCCCCTTAATAAGCCCAGACTCTGAGGCATTGCCTTTTGAAGAGTAAAAAGAACTAAATCATTGCATATGGAAGCCTCGTTGTCTATGTATAGACCCTGGAATTCCTGACTTTTAGTATATGCACCTCATTCCTGAAGCGAGGCATTTGTGAAAAGATGGAACTCTGGATGAGGTGGCAGCAGAGGAATACATATCTTATTAGTGTCCCGACTTAACAACCCCTCGAGATTGAAGAAAGATCCTGAGTAAGTAAACTGAGGAATCCAGTGAATCAATGTTTATGATCCCTTGGTTGCACAAAGACCATTGAAAGGATCTCTTGTGCTCTTGTCGTAATGGTATGAGGTATTCAAGTGTTGCCCACATTCCCAAAAGAGAAAAAAACATCCATACAGTGGGAGAAGAAGAGGTGAGTAAGAGTCGAATTTCCTGTTCCATAACGTGGAGCATGATGGGAATAAGCTGAGCCTGACTGAGAGATGTGACGAATAAAACAACAACAGACTAATGACATATTGAATTGGAGCAAGAATAGATGTCTCAGATATGATAATGAAGCCTGCTTTGGTTGTTTCTGAATGTAGAATCAGGATGTGATGTTCTGACAATTGATGAGATGGTGCCAACCTTTACCAGCCATCCATGGAATGGTGTGTGCACAGTGCTAAGGAATGGAGGCAACGAGAAAAAAACTCGTACAATTCAGCAGAACCCATGTGATACCGATGCTAGTCCAAAGGTAAAAACCCTGAACAGCAGTATCTGACCCTTGTGCACAAACAATGTTCCACCTTAGAACCCCAAACTTCGAGGAGCAGATGTATTATTTGAAAGGCAGAATATGCTTCCACCTAGCAGTGATAGGATAAATCATGCAGTTCCAACAACTGTGGTGGATAAGTCATAACTCTCTCTTCACATAACTGAAAAGTAAACCACTCTGCATGAACCTCAATGTCCGTGGATGGAAAGAAAATAAAATATTCGCTCCCAGACCTTTCAGCCATCAAGTATGATGCAGACTCAAAAACAACTGGTGAAAGACCCAAAACATCACACTCTTGATAAACCAACTGAAGAAAACAAATCAAAGGCAGTGTCATGATATAAAAGACTGTTTAGTTTATATATTATTGATTATATAATTTATTCTGTGAATGAATATTATATTATTGTTTAGTTTTTGGTTATAATAAGAGTTAAAAGCAGACAATTACAGGAAGTTGTGTTTATAATTCATTGATGCTGAGACTATCGATTGTTGCGTGCAATATACTGACAATGAGAATATAGAGAATTCTAGAAGACGGGCAGACGATTAAGTGATAAACACATAAATAGTGTGAGACAAGTGGAAACAACAGACAGACAATAGCACAAGAGAGTAAATTTGATGATGAGGAACCCACTTTGAGACTAATAATGCTTGAAGATAGCTTGAATGATGACAGAACCTTGTAAAAACGTTGTACATTTGCTGTTATGTTAAGTTTTTCTTCATTACCCATTCAAGCCGTCTCCAAACATTACAAGAGAGTAAAGTTATGGGCAGGAAATGTTCAGCATAAAATTAACTACCATAGAAGTGATAGGTCTAACAATTAATGTAGGCCTAATGTTTAATATGTTAGAGTACGACTAACAGTAGAAAAAGAAATAAGAATAATTTATTCCATGAAAGCGTGGTTCTAAAGTAACTGATCAGACTGAGTGCACTTTGACAACAGGAATAGAGGATATTCTGAAGAAAGAAGAACAAATGATTATGGTAACTTTCGCCGCAATTATAACTGAATGCCACACAGAATACTTGTGCAATAGTAATAGAGAAGATAGTTTGGCTTGTCAACTGAAATTCTAAAGCAATTGAATAGGCTTAAGTGGACTTTTGAGAAAAGGAAGAGAACTACATATATAGTGTTTATGATATGCCTATAATCTCTATAGTGTGAAGAATTTGTT